TTCCATGGGCCGGACCGGCACTAGGGCCCAGGTATGCTTAAGGCTCCCGAGGCCCGTAGTAAGCCTGAAATACTAAAAATTTACTACCTCAAATTAATTTTAAACATTCAGCCCATATTTATAGGAAAATAAACCATATACAAACATTCTGGCCCAAACTCAAATAACCAACATTTAAATGTATAACCAGGGCCTATTCACAATAAATTATAAATCACGTTATGGGCTTACTGGTCACCCAGCTAATTACCTAACATTTAATTTATAGTGTAGTGCTAACAATAAGTCCAATATTAATGACACAACCCTGATAACTATAACTGCGGAGTCCAAAAATAATCTGATAACAGAATAATTTATACATCCAAAATTAAATAACATGAATATAAAGTTTACATTTGTAACTCTGCAGAGAAGATTGCAGAGCTTCAGCCGAATCAGCTGCTTCCTAGTACCTGGAAGGTTTGTTGGGGAGGGGTGAGTTTTGCAACTCAGTGAATAATAATAAATAATACACACCACATACAGTCAAGCAAAATGCACCATAATTATATAAAATACCTTGGATTGAAGCTTACTGCTGTCATTCTCATGCCATACCGAATTCTGAATTATAAATCACCTTATTCATGCTAATATATTCAGTAGATTGTTCTATAACTTAAATTAGATTGAAGAATTAAATTCTCCTTAGTAAAATCGCATGAATAGTAGTAACTAGGGATTTAGTTCCAACGCTAACTTAATTCATAAATCAAATCCTTCATCATTCAGCAAGAACTCATAAATTCTACTGAAGAAGGTCAAAAATTGGCTTACCTTGTCGGCAATAGTCGCTGGAATCGCTCGGAGAGAAGGATGAAGACGCTATCTCGATCGGGATGAAGTCCTAGCCTCGTTGTGATTCTTGCGCCCACCAGAAGCGGAAACGGAGAGAAGGGAAAGGAAGGCCGGGTTGTTGCGGCAAGGAGTCGACGGCGAGGAGTCGACGGCGAGGAGGCGCTGGTCTTAGGCGGTCGGAAAAACGAGAGGGGGAGAGGGGAGGGGTGAGGTCGACGCTGCTGGAAGAAGAAGAAAAGAAAAAGAAAAAAAAGAAAAGAAAAGAAAGGAAAATTATAAAGCTTCTAGACCATTCATATTGAATTATAATAGCAGGCTGATGTTGTATACAAAAATAATGTAATTTATATTTACAAAACAGGATACTAGGGTCAAAAATGAAATGGGCCCAACTGGAAGTGCCCTGAACATGCCATAAAAAAAGGGTTAGACAAAGATACATATCGAAAATGAGTAGCTACCCTGAAGATTGAGTCTTCTACAGATTGAACTGCCCAGCATTTGCTAAGCCGGACTTCTCGTATGCGTCCAAAAAACTCAAGAACCTGCGAGTAAACAGGTAACTCGCCTTGAGCAAATAAAGCCTCAGTGGATATCTCAAAAACAAAGAGATTTTAAAGAAACAATTGAACACATAACATGTTATAGAAAGAAACCATGTAAAACAACATATGGGTTACATATAAGCACACACATCATGATACTTCTCATGATACCTGATTATCTTTGAACTGTTGTATATAATACTGTATAATTCATAAAATGGTTATGTCAAAGATATCTGTATGGCTCCATAAGTTATAGTTGAAACCGAAAGTTTATAAGAAAAACTATATGAAACTGGATTGAATACTGTATAGCTGGCTGCTATGCCCCCATATAATAATCATATCCACTCAACGGCCTGTGCCGGAGTAAAATCAATAACTGTATGCAGGTGCAGATTCTGCCTATCCGTATGTCGCGACATAGCCTTAATGGCTACATGGGTTCTACCTAACCCAATGGAGCATAATTGTTGGTAATGTTCAATAATATAACACAACATCATATTAATATTCATAACTTCATAATTCATAAATGTATATTTGATTTCACATCATTTTGCATGCTTGCATGTTGTTTTGCATACATTGATTTAATGTTGTATTTTGTGTTTTAAAATGATTGGCAGGCATATAAGTGAAGCAACAAGGAATACAAATTGCATTGTGAAAAAAGAAGTCCAAAAGGTCATGAAAACACAAGTCGCGAGCGCGCCTTGCAAAGTCCGAGCGCGTTTAATGCACCAGATGAGAGACAGTGAGTTATCGGCACAAGTCACGGAAGGCGCGTAATGCACCAGATGAGAGAACAGTGATTGGCATATAAGTGAAGCAAAGAAATACAATTGCATTGAAAAAGAAGTCCAAAAGTGCATGAAAACACAAGTCGCGAGCGCGTACTTCAAAGTTGCGAGCGCATAGAATGCAAAATGATAGACAGTGAGTTATCGGGCACAAGTCGCGACCGCGTACTTGAAAGTCGCGAGCTCGAGAAGTGCCAAATGAGAGTCAGCGAGTTTGCGAGCACAAGTCGCGACCGCGCACTTGAAAGTCGCGACCGCGAGATGTGCTAAATAAGAGTCAGAGAGTTTCAGGTGAAAGTCGCGAGCGCGTAGGTCAAATTCGCGAGCGCGAGAAGGCAACGCGAACTCATCACAATTCGCGGGCACGGCTTCCAGCCTGCACTATCTGCTACTCTTTTGGTCATATCTCTCAATAAAACAACTCCGATATGAATGATTCAAAAACCCATGTAAAGATAACACATAGAGGAACAAATAACTCTCTATGACATCCTAATTCCATCATTAAATGGGGTCAAAATCAAGATGAAATTACTGGTAAATTTCCAGCAAAAACCTGTTTTCAAACATAAACTAATATTTTACTGCATTTATTCAATACCTCCCCTGTCTTCCCCTGTTTCTCACCATTTACCAGTCCTCCCACTCAACATGACAATATATTGTCTTCACTAGCAACACCACCACACCAAATTCTTCATGCAAAGGAAAATGGGAAAAATAACAAAGAGATATCAAACCTTTTACTCCAAAAGCTTTGAGCTCCTCTTTAACTTCTTTTTTTCTCACTCTTTGAACTCCCTTCACCTTATAAATAAGAATTCTTGATGAATTCTAAAATAATAGCGACCAAATGATTCAATTATGTAACTTCAAAGAAGGTTACTTACTTGTATAGAAGAAAAATTGAAGTTAAGCTTACTTAACTACCATTAAAATTGAAAGGAAGGTGGAAGAGGAAAGGAAGAAAATGAAGAAGATGAAGATAAAGATGAAAATGGGAAAGTGAAATGGGTGTGCACCGGTAGGCTCTAAAAGATCCATGAATTTGTGTGTAAAAGTTCTAAATGGTACCTCAATTAGCAAAAGGCTACTACTTAATACCCAAGCTTGATCTTTTACTGCAAATCAATCCTCACTTATATGCTTTGATCTTTTCTCTCAATCAAGTAACTCCACTTAATAACCCATTCTACCCCAACCGGGTTTGGTTCAACTCGACTCAACTCGACTACTCAACTCTATGCACTCTGATGCTAAGACTCGACTCAGTAGGAGTCACAAGGAGAGGGAGGGGTGAGGTCGACGCTGCTGGAAAAAGAAGAAAAGAAAAGAAGAAAAAGAGAAAAAAAAAGAAAAGGAAAAAGAAAAGGAAAATTATAAAGCTCTAGCACCATTCCGGTTTCCCGAGGTCGAACCGGTTTAGGATCTAATTCTATGATTGGCTCAATTTGCTGGGTTTTCGAGTTTTTCGCTTTGGTTTTTGAAAAATCGAATTGCGGTTACGGGGTCCAGTTTACAAAAAATAATAAAATACTAGCTGGTATAATCTCATTGGTTGAAATAAAAAATTTAGTTTTTAAATGAAAATTCTTCGAAATTAAATTTTCGGGTCGTTTCATACATATAATACTAATTACATCAAATCACTCCAGTAAAAACTGTACCAATACCAGAACTGCTCCACTACCACTCCACCATCCCCACCATCCCCACCACCACCTCAACCACCACCATAAAAATTCCACCATCACCATCATTCCTCTACCTTTACCACCACCACCACCACTCTATCACTAACCTAGCACCACCACTTCAACACTGTACCACCACAATCACCATCCCAATACCACCACCATCATTGCACCACCACCACCACTCCACCAATGCTCTATCACTGCTGTCACCACACTCCATCACCAACACCACTTAATAAAAATTATATTTCTTTGGTTACTTTCTTTTAATTTTTTAGTTCAAATAAATTTATACAATATAAAGTCTTATAATACATAAATAGAAAATATCTTTTAGTTCAAATATTTCTTAGTTCAAATATTTCTTTTGTATTAATAATAATGTGGTGGTGGTAGAGTGGTGTTTGAGTTGGTAGTGTTGAAGTGGTGGTTATGATGGTGGTGATGGTGATAGAGTAGTGGTTGTGGTGGCGGTGGAGGTGAGTGGTGGTGGAAGAGTGGCAATGTTGGTGGTGGAAGAGTGGTGTTGCTGGTATACTAATTACATTACATATTTACAAACAAATTTAAAAAAGGAATGATGGTTACATTCCATAAATTTTTTCAATTATATGACCAAACATAGTAATGAAATAGTGATTACATTCCATTACATTATATCTTTAATTGCATTACATCAAACTAAATATAGCCTTAATATTTTTGAATTGTGTAGAAAGTTGAGAGCTTTAAATGAAACAAATATATAAAAACACTTTTTAAACATGACGAACTACATTATCATAAATCATCGAAACATTATCATTCAACCATTATCATAAATCATGTAATATAATCATCATTCATTTATATGGTTGATTGCATTCAACCAAACATAGTCTTAATGTATGAAGTTCTTTCCCAAGATTAGAATTAAACAATACAAACTTAATGTATTAAATTTTTGAATCAAATAATAATATTAATTTGAATTTAGACACATTTGAATTTGTAAATTTTTTTTGATGGCAATCAAACCAAATATTTGAATTGAAAATATTTTTTGAACTACCAATATTTCGTCACAAGCTAAAAGCAAGATTAATGGTATTAATTTACTATATAACCTTATACTATTTATTAATTACAAGTCACAATTTATTAGAATATATATAAAAATACTATATGACTATTAGAATATATATAAAAATACTATATGACCTTATAACCTAGAGAACAAGCCAAAAGCAGGATTGATGGTAGTAAAACCACCATCTAATGCTAAATTATGTCCACTCACATACTTAGACTCATCACTTCCTAAATATATAGCAGCTTGTGCTACATCTTCTTCTGTAAGCTTCACTCCTTCAAGATTTGAATAAACACCAGACTTTCCATCTTCCTTCATTTTGAAAAAATTCATACTCAACGGCGTTTCAATAAAATAAGGGGATAAGCAATTCACCCTAATTCCGAACCGGCCAAGCTCCGCCGCTGCATTTTTTGCTAGACCTACGACTCCATGCTTTGTACTAGTGTATGCATGAGATGTCCATGCTTTGTACTAGTGTATGCATGAGATGCCACACCACCTACACTTGAGCAAACGCTGCCTAGTGTAATTATACTCCCTTGTCGAGCAGGAATCATCACTCGAGCTGCGTGTTTGGTTCCTAAGAAAACTCCAATTAGGTTCACCTTAACAACTCGCTCAAAATCTGCTATGTCATTGTCAACTATGCTTGGTTTACGAGGATCTCCAATCGCAGCGTTGTTCACCATTATATCAAGTTTTTTGAAAATAAAAATCGCAGTATCGACTGCGTTTTCAATGTCAGATTCTATTGTCACATCACAATGTACAAAAATCGCCTTATCGGTACCGAGTTCTTTGGAGAGTGATTGACCAAGATCATCTTGAATGTCGACGATTATTACTTTAGCTCCATGTTTGCAGAAAGTCCTAACAATGGATGCACCGATGCTAGTAGCGCCTCCGGTTATCAACGCAACCTTACCTTCGAGTCTAGAGTATTCATGTTTTCAAGAAATGGATACATTAATTTGGGCAAGTCGTTAAAAAACTCTAAAGTTTAGAGGTTTTAATTTGCACCCTACATTCAACTTTGTTCTCCTAATACTCTAATATTTAACTTTAATTACAATAATAACTTAATCTCAAATTGTATCAAATTTAATGAATAAAACTTTATTTTCGTGAAACCCAATTTAACTTTTTCCCCAAATCAGATTCATTTCCTATCACCACTGCTTATACATAAATAAATATTAAATAAAAATAATTTATTCATCTTAAACATAAAAATACTTTTATTTATTCATATAAAATGCTTAAACATAAGTATAAATAAAATTTCATGCTTAAAAAATGGCAAAACAAGAACCTAAACTAATATTCTATATCTATAACTAATTAAAATTTATTATTTTACTTGGCTTTTTATGAATAATTCCTAACCAATATTAATTATGGTGTTGTTCAACCATGAGTTTTTGGCTAACCTGACCATAAAAGAGAGTAGATGTCCAGTGAAAGTAATATTTTATTTATTAAATTGTATAGGATTTGAAATTAAGATGCTACTGTAATCAAATTCGAAATTTAGGATCTGGAAGAAGAAAGTTGGATATAGAGTACAATTAAAACTTCTACAAAGTTTAGGGATTTTTTGAATGATTTGCTAATACTTAATAATAATTAGTTAACTAATAATCAATTTGCAAGTGTCGGATATAAGGAAAAAAAGAAAAAAAAATAGCAAAATAGGTCAAAACTTGGTGTCAACCCGTGTAGGTAAAAAATTTCCTCATATATATTATTTCTCTCTTACTATATCTGTTCCCTACTCAAAGAAATACTGAACTAAGCTATATCTGTTCCCTACTCAAAGAAATACTGAACTAAGTAATGTAATTATAACTTTGCTTTAAATATTATGATTTTAACTGTTAATTATAAAAGAAAATAGAGAGAATCATCATATATATATTAACAAAATGGGATTTGGTTCTCAAAACTCTCAAAATTTTTCACATAACCATAGTCACATATAGTTATTCAAAGAATTTAGAGCTTTCGAAATCTATTTAGGCATTTTCCCCCTTATAATTAATAGTAAAAACTAAAGAAATTTAATAATTTAATTTTCCAAACTTGAGAGACAGGAGATTGTCTAGTGCCTCAGGAAGCAAATATTAATTTAACCATTTGTAGAACATGAGAACCCAGACATAATTAATTTATATATATATCTATATCTCTAATAATATGAAACTTATTTGTTATAATAATAATCATAATAATAATAATAAATTAATGAATAAAGAGAAATTTGTAAAAATATTTTTTAAAATAATAAATGTAATCATAATAATAATAATAAATTAATGAATAAAGAGAAATTTGTAAAAATATTTTTAAAATAATAAATTTTGATAAATCTCTTACTATTTTTGAATTGTGTAGAAAGTTGGGAGGTTCAGATAAAAAAAAGAAGAAGAAGAAGAAGAAGATATTAAAACCTTCTAATATGAAGAACTATTATTTAATTTGCTCACCTTCTAGCATTAAATGGGAGAAGGAAATTGCTTGCCATGACCTTCACAATCAATTGAAGAACTATCGTAGCAGAAGAACTTGTTCACAACATGAAATAAAACTCTCCTTTTATAGCCATATAACAAATATTTTTTTAAATTTCTCAAAAAAACAGGCACTTTATTGCAAATGGAATTACTGGGTAAAATATTAGGACCATAAAGATAAAGTTGACATTGTGAAATATATAATTTTATCATGAAATTTTATATTAACCTCACGGCAAGCAACCCCTATTTTTACTTTTAACCGTTAAACATTTCAGCTTATAAACGTATATCTATTAAACACTTTAACTTTTAAAATCATTTTATTCAACACTTCAATTTGAAAAATTATATCAATTAAACATCTATTAAATAGTTAACCATGTGAAAATTATTTTGCATATAAAAAAATTAAAAAAATCTTAAGAATTAATGTTTTAATGTAAAAATGTGTTTTTTGTATTTGATAATCACACTGCAAATGGGCCTCCCTCCCTTTGTCTTGTACCATCCCACGTCTTTTCTCAACATTGGACATCTCCTTTTGTGCTTGTTATTCTTTTTCTTTTATCTCAAGTCTGATTGATTTGATCACTAATCTACAATCATAAAAAAGCATGCGGTGACCATCCATCCCCAAAATTTAATATTTATTTGTTGAATACATAAATTCAGCTGTAAAATTTATTAATTTAATCTTATAATACTATTGACCTTTATTTTAACCTATAAATATAACAATTTATAAAATTATATATATTAATCACTTTAATTTATAAAATTTATTTTATTAAAAACTTTAATTTATAAATTTAGATCAATTATACTCGTATTACAATAATCTTATAACCTGTAGAAACAAAACAAAAATAGGATGAATGGTAGTAAAACCACCGTCTAATGCTAAGCGACTGAATACATAATTTTATCCATGATTTTATTATTTTAACACTGAGGCATCCTCAAATTTTAAATTATTATTCAAATAATTCAACTTATAACATTAATTAAATTAATTAAGTATCTATTAAATAATAAAAAAATGCGAAAATTATTCTGCATTGTGTTATCATAATTGCACTTCAATTAACATTAATCGGATGTTTGGTTTGCAAGGATCACTGAGATGCACTAATTGGAGAAGGATTGATTGCTTTGACATTGACAACATGAAATAGAACTTTCCTCTTACAGCCACAAAAAACGCATTTACTCATCACCTGGCCGGTCTGGTATTCACCGACATGAGGACGCGACAGTGGTGGAGTGGACTCTCTCTACATCATAATTCAATTTCATCCTCATAACTTTATGTACATGTTTAAATAATTTTATTGTAACTTATAATTGCTGATACTATAATTTTCCTAGCATTAATTAAAATATTCATTAATTAATCTCTGTGAAACTCAAAATTATAATGTTTAACATTTTATAAAAAGCTCTTTTAAATTTTAAAAATTATTATAAAAACTATATCACCAAATACTACAACGATAGAGATAAAATTTTGACCTAATCAAAACGATAAAAGCCAACTTAAAGATCGTTACTTTTATCAAAGCTCACATTGAAGTTGTCTTAGTTTTCATCTAAATGATCAATTAGCATGCACAACTGATAAGTGCATTATCAAGTGCTTTTATTGTCTATATTCATATGCATTTTTGGGTTATTTATGTGCTTAATTCACTTTGTTAGACAATTTTTACCGATTAGACATTATTTTAGTTGCATTTGGAGTAATATAATTAAATTGGTAAAATTCCAGCATTTTTTTATCTTGACCCTTGTTCGGTTTTTCAGGGATATATGGAGTTGTAGACCTTCAAATTGGATTCCGTTAACCTTTCAAATTGGAATTCCGTTTGATGCGCTGGAAAGATGAAATAAAAGTTCTACAATTGTCAAAGAAGGAATCAGAAGCTTAATTCAGTCTTCAATGATTTGATCAAATTCAGCTCTGAATCTTTGAAGCTATTGTGCTGTATAACTGAGCCACAACCTTTCTGTTGTGGACTTCATATCTGGATTCCCAAGTGTCCAAAACTAACTCAGCCCAGGCCCATTGAATTCTTAGGAAGACAGCCCTTACGTTTTTGAGAAGACAATTATGAAATGAAGTCGTTTTGGTCAATTCAAAAACGTCATAGAAGAGTAACGGTTTTGAGCAGAAATATCTGCTTCAACCTGATTCTGGTTTTTAGGTCCCGTATCTTCTGCTGTGAGTGTCCTTTATGGCGAACCTAGTTCCGTTAGAAAGATGAGAAGGAGATCCTGCAAGTTTGTTTTGAAGAAGTCAGAAATCAGATTCAAGAAGGAAGCATGCGGAAAAAACAGGGAGAAATCAGAACAACAAATATTTTTCTGTTAACGCTTTGAATTTCCCAATTGATTAGGGATTCTTTCCTTTGGAGGTGGTATATAAGGATGTGATTTCTACAGCAGCTAGGAGGCACATTTTCTCTCTTAATTCATCATAATCTAGGTTTTTGTTCTTTATCTTTTTTTTTGGCTGATTGGAAGCCATTTTGGTGATTGGAAGCCATGATTATGAGTGGCTAATTTCTTTACATCAATTCAAGGGATTTATCATCCTTGCACTTTTGTGAGACTTGGGTTTTAAATGAGAAGTTTCTTCTTGAATATCTATTGTTTCTTGTTCTTATTGAGTTGATTCTATTGAATTCTTTGCTAAAAAGGCCTATTAGTGAATTGTTTGGTAGGATTAAGTGCTATTTCAGATTTCATAATCCGTAATTGTTATGAAAGTTTGAATGTTAGTAGCAATTAGATATTACTGATTATATTTCAGGTTTTCAGTAATAATCTATAGAGACAATAGGGTTGAATTAAATGGTTTATGCTTTATAAATTGTTGTTCAAGTTTAACTACTTCCTGAATGCTTTTTTATTAAATTGAAAGGATTGCTTAATACCCACGTTTAATAATTTAATACCCGATCGTTTAATAATTAGAGTTAATGAGGGTGCTGGGCTTAAGTTAACGAAATAGGGGAGTTTTGGGAATTTATCATGTTTTTTGGTAAATTTCAGTTAAGTATTCAAAGAGTAATTAAATCATAAGTTGTCTGTGATCAATTGTGCATTGGATTAGAAATCACCTTGAATTGGTTTTCATCAATTTGCATTACTACTTTAGTTTAATTAATTAATTTTCTTTTTGAACTGTTAAGTTGATTTTTTTTCACAAACAAACCCCCCCTTCTTTTTAAACACAAAAATTAAGATTTCAGTCTCTAAGGTTCGACCTGAATTCACCACTTCTACAGTTAAATTTAAATTTGCGTGAAACCGACAAACATTAAATTTTTGGCGCCGGTTGTGGGACTGAAAGATATTATATTTTTTTTTTTTTTGTGTTTTTATTTGTTAAAATAGTTTTCTTACCTTATGTGTAGTGTTGTTGGTTTCGGGTTTTTTTGGTTAAAATTGATAGAATTGAAGTCATGGTTTATGACAAGAAGTTTCTCAAATCTGGTGAAATATTTTTGATCCTTGAAGTAGAAAAAACGAGCTAAAACGTTTGAGAAAATTAGCTAAAAAAAGCTAAACCAAGCTGAATTTGAGTCAAGCCTCATCTTGAACGGACGATTACTGATAGTTCAAACAATCTCCGAGGGAATCAATTTCCAGATTCAGAATCTGAAATTGATACCATGGCTGCTAAAACCTTGAAAGAATTGGCTACAACCTGACCTAAATCAGCAAAACCTTTGTGCAGTTCAATTTCCTACTTTAATGTTGCTTTTTGAATTTAAATCTCGTCTAATCTATGGTTGGCCTAAATTTCATAGGACTTTCAGGTGAGGATCCGCATAAACATTTGAAGGAGTTCCATGTGGTGTTTCTAGCAAGGAGTTCCATGTGGTGTGTTCTAGCATGAAGCCTCAAGGAGTTTCAGAAGAGCAAATTAAGCTTCGAGCTTTCCCTTTCTCATTGGAAGACAAAGCTAAGGACTAGTTGTATTACCTTCCTTCTGGATCGATTAATTCATGGAATGAGATGAAGCGAATATTTTTAGAGAAGTATTTTCCAGCATCTCGAGCTGCCAACGGAAAGACATTTGTGGCATTCGGCAATATAGTGAAGAGAGTTTATATGAGTATTGGGAGCGGTTTAAGAAACTTTGTGCAAGCTGTCCCCATCATCAAATTACTGAGCAGCTGTTGATCCAATATTTTTATGAGGGACTTATGCCGATGGATCGAAATATGATACATGCTGCTAGTGGAGGTGCTTTAGTTGACAAGACACCGGAAGATGCAAAAAGATTAATTGCTAACATGGCAGCAAATTCCCAGCAGTTTGGAATGAGAATGGATCACACGTCTAAGAAGGTTAATGAGGTAAGTACGTCTAATCTTGAGAAACAAATTTCAGATTTAACTTCTTTGGTTAGACAAATTGCTGTAGGAAATATGCAAGCTGTTAAAACATGTGGAATTTGCTTGGTTCCTGGTCATGCTACTGATATGTGTCCTACACTTCAAGAGGATGAACTAGTGCAGCAAGCCAATGCAGTAGGAAATTTTGGACAGCAACAACGCAGGTATGATCCCTATTCTAATTCTTACAATCCGCGAACCATCGAATTTGAGTTATGGAATCAGCCAATTGCAAATCACTACCAACAGAACAAAGGACCACAAGTGAATCAACCATCTTCTTCCTCTCAAAAATCAGGGTATATCACTTGCATGATATTGTTAAAGCTTTGCTACTAATACACAACAGTTTCAGCAGGGAAACTCAGGGACTAGTTATTCATAATATAGAGAAGCAGGATGGTCAGTTAGCTTCATCTGTGAAGCAAAACTTGCAAGCTCAAAAATCTGGTAAGCTTCCATCGCCCAATCTGTGATTAAATCCTAAAGAAAATGCTAGTGCTATACTTTTTGCGAAGTGGGAGAGAAGTTAATAATCAGGTTGTTAAAAGAGTCAACAAAGAAGCACAAAGCAAGTTCAAAGGATTCTGATATCCTGAAGTTGAGTAAATTCTAACTTAAGTGCTAATAAATTTTGTTGTTCCTCCTCCATTCCTAGTAGGTTGGCCAAGACAAGAAGAAGAACAAGGAGAAAAGAGATTTGGGAGATGTTCAGGAA